TATGAATTTTGAATTAAGAATTAAGATGATCAATAGATAAAATTGCTATGCTCTAAGATTCATCACATACTTGAATCTTCAATCAATCGTTGTTTGCAATCTTTTTATATTTTCAATTAGTTAAAAGTAGTTAGGAAAAATAATCGCAACCACCATAATTATTTACTTGTTTTTATCAAATAGGAGCTAGAAAAATTTGATAAAAATCCTGAAGTATAATTTTCGTGGAAACGATATCTGAACTCAAAAATCCACTATACTGCTTTTTACTATATCATATACTTGCGATATAAAAAAAAGGCAACAAGGGACCCTTGCTCATTAATTATTTAGTGTAAAAAAAGAAATACACGTAATTTTTTTCTATGTATTAGTCCGGCTTGTAGTCCTATCCTGAATCCGTATCTGATTTGCTCCATTTTCTTCTAAAATTTTTTGTGTTGAAACTTGAAATCGAATGCTATCACACTTAATATGTACCAAGAATCCATGAAATATAATGTTAATAAATTTTAGTATATAAATATTTTTTTTTCTTTTTTTTGAAACGCACAGCTTAGCGTTTTAATACAAAACGTACATGATGTACTTTTGAAAGGTTTATAAATATTAAGTTTATAAAAATCCTTGGCAATGAGTTTAAATTAACAAACTTCATCAATTCATCTTCATGGTTTGAGAGGAAATATAAGTTAACCGAAGAATAGGTAATAGAATTACCTAAGAATGTTTTGTCAAGAGACATAATATTATTTTTAGTAATAGTATAGAAACAAAAAAGTGACAATATATGAGTCACATTCCAAATATTATTAAATCTAAATTTAACAATTAAAATTAGGGTTAATTTCACAAACGGTCACTGAACTTACATCAAAATCATAAAACGGTCACTGAAATTCAAAACTTGCATAAACGGTCACTGAACTTACATAAACTTCACTAACGGTCACTGAAGGACCAAAAACATATGAATTGAATCCTTGAGGAACTCAAGTACAAATTTCATCTAATTTCAATTTCTCAAAATTTGCCCCTGATTCCAAATATTAACCACTTCCCGGCACTAAGCTCAGTTATATCTGAAATGAGGGAGTGACTGGAATGAGGGCTGCATTCACTTTGAATGTCCACGGTTTGGGGACTTTCAGAGGGTGCCACGACTGAATAGGGTGGCGTGAGGCCAGGTGAGGAGGAGCGTTGGGGTGAGGAGGTCTTGCTGTTGCCCCAGGAGGTGATCGACGACTTCGGATGAGGGAGAGGTGTGGAGGAGGGCTGGGATGAAGGGGCTTTGCCGTCCCCCTTGGTGATGGCGTCCAGCGGCTTGGGATGAGGGAGAGGAGCAGAGGAGGGTTGGGAAGGTATGGCTCACTATTGCCCATGGATGGCAACCGACGGCTGGGGATTAGGGCACGGTTTGGGGGGATTAAGGTACGGTACCAGCACTAAGCTCAGTTTCCACTTTGGAGCCACAAATCACGAGCTGCGAAAACCACCAGATCCAACCACCATGAGCTTCGCCTCATTCCCCTCTACAATTTCCAATCAACCACCAGCTACAAATCAAAGGAAGCAGCAGAAAATCCAGCCCAAAAACACAAATTTCGCACACCCCTTTTCTACATAAAAATGATATCTTGATAATTCTTGGTTTTGGCAATAGAGACTATCAATTTGTTAAATGATGAGCTGGGTGGCAAGGGTTGCATTTGGAGCATCTGATAAAATGATTTTAATGCATCATTGATGTTGATTTCGGTTCTCATTTGGATGATTTTTTTGGGTGGTGGTGGGAGTTTGTGTGGAGGTGGTGGTGGTGCGGTGGAAGTGGAGGTGGCGACGACAGTAGTGGAATTGGCCGGAATTGGAGGTAAAATCGTGCATAGGGATGATTTTTTGAACCGGAATTTCATTTGATTTTTTATCAGTTAGGGCTGCTTGTTGGCATATGATTGTGGATGGGGGGTAAGGAGGAGATGGTGGTGTAAAAATTCGATGGTTTATTTGGTGGTATGGCGGTCGAATTTTGCAATTTTCGACGCTGGCTCCATATGGTGTAGGTAGGGATGGTAAAAAAACTCGACGATTCGGGCTCCGGCCAAGCCTCATTTTGGGGGGTTAGCCCGAGTCGGCCCGTCTGTAATTAATTAAAAAAAATTTTAAAGCTGCTTGTAGGCAAATAAGATAGAAAATAAAATAAAAAATAAATAAATAAGTGAGTCGGCTCGGCCCGCTAAGGCTCAGGCCGAGCCTTATTTTTTTTGGTCGGGCTCGACCGGGCCACAAAAAAGCTCGAGCCGAGCCCAAGCTTTTTTTCTGCTCGAGCTCAACTCGACTTGACTCGTTGACATAGCTAGGTGTAGGTGGGAGGAAAAAGTGGTGATTCTTCAAGTTAGGGGCAAAATTTAAGCAAATAAAATTAGATTAAATTTACACTTGAGGTCCTCAAGG